TGTTTTTGTTATTGTTGTTGTTGGTACGTTGGTTTTTCTTTGCTAAAGTCGAACGAGTAACGGGCATTATTTTTATTTTTATTGTAGATCTTTTTCGTTTGTTTTTGAGAAGTTTGGGAAAGAGTTTTTTTTTTATATTTTAAAATTATTAAATAATATTGCTTTAAAATTAATATTTTTCTTAAGATATTTATTATTGAAATCTGATTGGATATGAATAAGTTGTTAAACTTTGTAAGATGTTATTGAATTTTTTCATAATGAATTATGACCTCCAAAAATGAAAATTCGTTATAGTGAGGTTCAACTGTAAAAGTTTTTAAAAGGATTGGATACACTTATACAAAATGATTTAAAGAAAAAATCAGAAAATGTATATACAGATGTATCATTTACGTTATTAATAATGTAGATTACTGGTAATATTTTTATTAATAAATAATAAATAAAAAAATTACTGTATTAAAAGTTTTATAAAGTTATATGTCATACATTAAATTTAAATATAAAATTGTTGTAATTCAATTTGCTATATATGGAAAAATCCGTACTCGATCAAAATATTTCTGTAATCACGAGCTCTGAAACCTTCAATTTTCTGGATTATGACATTCATTTTTTTTTATTCTAATGAATCTCTTAGTGAATGTCTGAAAATGAAAAAGGTTTAAGGTTTTTCGTTGGGATGTGCGTTAACTATTGAAAATCAGCATATAATTCCTCTCATTACATTTCAATAGCCTTTGGCTCTATATTAAAAAAAATTTTTTTCTCGTTTTCAACAAAGCGAGAGAGGTCTTTTTTTTTTTTTTTTTTTTTTTTATCAAGCCTTCTCCTGTTATGAATCTTTATATAGTTTTGATTGATTTACAACGCTTTATGAATCAATAACTGAAAATGCAAAAATAAATGTATATTTAAGCAATTTTCTCAATTGTTTTTATTATAATAATCAGCACTCGAATTTGTTTTTCAAAATGAATGATGGCCCTAAAGCCAAAAAAAAATAATTTTAATCATTTATAGCTAATGAGACGCATAAAGCTGTTGAAGCCGTCAGTAATGTAGTCGATGACTTTTAAAAAGGCTTTTCTTGCTATATCGCGGAATCTTTCCCAGAACGACCTTTTCGGTGCAGGTGGTTGCGCTTTTAATTGATTGATAAAAGAAAAGAAATGTCGAATATTGTTCTCATAATAGATGTTAAATAATAATATTAAAAAAACAACTCACTTATCCAAAAATTTATTACTTCTCTACGAAACAAATCGTATTCTTGCTGATCATTGATTAATCCATCATCAAAACATCTCTTAAGTTCAGCAAGCTTCTCATAAAGACTCATGTTGATAACAATTGGAAAATATTTGAAATAAAAGTTCTTATAACTGAATATAAATCTATTTTCTTTTTTTTTTTCATAACCATAACCAAATGTTACATCATATAAATTGGTGTTGTGGTCATTCTTTGGTCAATCTGAGGTCAATCTGAAGTAATTTCAGCCATTACAGCCAACACCTTCGTTACATCATCATAAATCATAGAATTGTACACTCAGAACTGGCTGATTTATAGACAATAAACCATCAAACCAACAATATCATAATGGATCTCAGTTCAAAATTAAGAGAGAACAAACAACGATTGGATTCAGGTGAAATTAATAAGGATGAATATGACAAACGTCGAAAGTCGATCCTAAAAAAATGGAAGGAAGACACCACCCCAAATAAGAGTGAATCTTCTTCACACTCTAGTGGTAAGTGTCAAAAGGAATGTACACATTGTTATTCTACAAAATGTAATAGTTGAGAATTATCGAAAGAATCAGACTTGTATCGGGTTCTCGAATTAACGCCCAACGCAACGGAAGGTGAAATTAAATCAAAATACAAGAAACTCAGTCTAAAGTACCATCCAGATAAGAATGGAGGTTTTAAAACCGAAGAGGTAAAGCAACAGATTTCATTTCTTTAACTCCATTCAAATATTAATAAACTCAATAACATAATTACAGTGGCACAGGCTTTCAATGGCATACCAAATTCTCTCAGATGATAACAGGCGCGCACTTTATGATCAATACAGAACAGTTGATGACGGTAGGTTTCAAGACTCTATTGATTTAATTTAACTATTTTTGCTAATTTGAAATGATTGATCTTAGTCTTTGCAGGTAAAGAATCGTTCAACTATCACGTAGGAGGAGACTCCTGGAAACCCTACATTGGCGACCTGGAAATTGGGTTTCGATTTTTCTCATATATCGGTGATAAGAGTTTGCCTGAACTAGAATACATAACCTCAGCTGAGCAGAAAGAACGTCGTATATCAAACATTGTCAATTATTTGCAAGAAAAACTTTCTCGAATGCCAAAGAAAGGCGATCCTGAGTTTGAATCGGTTGAGCAAAGTCTTCGCCAAGAAATTCTGAAACTTGTTGAGGAACCTAACGGCAAAAATTTATTATCCTTATTAGGTAGAATTTACGTTTCTAGTGCCGAAGCTCATCTAAACAGGGGTTGCATGGAGGTCGTAAATTATAATTATTCGCTTAATTTTATTTGGTTTATGAAATTGATCTGTTCATCGTTGACTTTATTGGCAACAAGAGATAAGGTAAAAAATTTTTAATTTTTCATCAAAATTACCACACATATTAAAAGATACATTTAAAAAAATCTTAGGTCACAGGATTAGCTTGGAAGATTTCAAAGTCAGAAATAGAATCTATCGCACGTGAAACAAGTGAGAAAGTCAACAATAATAATGATCAACTTGCCGATTCACTGAAAATCTTTGGAAATTTGTGGATAGAAATAAGCAATTCGAAAAATACAAGGTTTAATTTGCAAGATATACGTTCGCTGTTTAGAATCTAATCTTAAAGGAAACATTGGGTATATGGTAGAAGTAAATTGCATGTGAAAATAAAAATTGCTGTCTTCGCACCTTGAAATCGAGATTTTCTATGTACATGTCTAGTCTGTAAAAGAGCATTGGAATTAATAAAATTAAGTTGACCATTTCAAGTAAGAAGCTCAAGTTCGCGCGTATTTATTATTTTGCATATCACGTCGATCGCGGCTGTGGAATATTTATTTTGATACAGCACAAGCAAAAAATCGCAGTTTTATATGATTTTACAGTTTTAATATAGGCATCAAATATTTTAGAATAAGATACAATAATAAATTATAAATTATATACGAAATTTATGATATTATACAATATTAATTGACCAAAATGGGTATACCTTCCATTTTACACAGTTTTTTTTTTTATACACAATCAATAAATAATTTTTTTCATTGACTTGTTGTTTCTCCAATGGATTCTAATAAAGAAGCGTCGATCACATTCTTTTCAAGAAAACGTCTAAATTTTTCCAAATATAAGATTCTCTCTTCAAAACCAGCTTCTAAATCAGGCGCTCGCACACTTTGTGAGAGCTTTTCTTTGGTTCTCTCTTCAAATCTTCTGAAACCGCAACATCCTTTATGTACAAAACCCCATGGTCTCATGGAATCAACACCTATAATGTTTAAAATAAAGCAAATTACAATAAATTAAAACTAGAATTAAAAAGAAAAAAAACAAATAAAATAAACTAACCAAATAAAAACACATAAATGAACACAATAGAACTATATAAAGCAGCAATATTTCCTAGTATGTTTATAATCTATTTATCCGAATGATAGATGATGATCACTTTCACGCATGACGACGGCTTTTTTTTAAAAAATTTCAATAATATACTTACATTACCGTTCCTAATTTTATTATATACGCAAATATGTTAACAAATGAATTCAGGTCAAATTAATTTTTATTTGGTAGATGGTTTTTACCTTTGCTCCTGTTCCTCTTCTACAATAAAGCTTCGTGGACTAATCCGTATTGTTAAATAGTTTGGATTTGAAGAAATCATCGGAGCAATCTCTGTAGATATTTAAACAACGATAACTTAAAAAATAGTTATCAAAAATGCACTTTTGATGATATGAACTTTTAAAACAAAATTGTTCTTACGCATAATTGATTCAATATAAGGTTTTGTAACGTATGTTCCTTGGAAACCTATATAAGTTAAAAGTGTCGGAACTAGCGTTTTTCTGAATTTTCTAGAGAATCCTAACTTATATATCTGTGATTTTTATATTTGTAAAGATGAATGAATGTTTGTCAGAAAGAAAACGTTATGTCAATTGCAATTATACATACAAAATGTTCAGCTACGGTATATTTGTTTAGGTAAAACAGTGATTCTTCAAATGGAGTTACTGGAGCATTACTCTGCGTGTCTTCTATTTATATTATTATAAAGGCTCGATAACAAGATTCGTACGACTTTATAAAAAAAAAAACTTGCATGAATCACCTGAATCAAAAGCAATCATCCTAAAGGATGTTTCTTGATTGGAATCATTCAGGTTCAATAATTTATTGTTGATGTTTATATTAAGAAAAACAAAAAGTACTCCTCCTTCATCACCATAGCCCTTCAAACTTATGTTGCCTAAAAAGTTTCCAACAAAAGAATGATCTTCGTTTTCCGTAAGTTTTGGTTGTTGGACATATTCATCGCAATTTTTTACTATTGCTTTAAATATTTTTAAGCAGAGATTAATATTTATATAATGTGAAATGTAGTAAAATTAATAAAATTTATTAAATATTCTTACTTCCATGATAATCGTAATACAATAAGCAAGAAATATTAAACTCAAACCCAAAAGCCAAATTAATGGCTGCGGTTTTGTTATTAAACAAACGTTACATTTTACTTTTTAGTGATATGATGATTCCAAAAAAAAAGAGGAAACAAAATTTACCTGGCGCGGGTAAACTACTGCTTGTTGTAAAAGTGGAACTAATAGTAGACTTCTCATTAAGCACCTTATGGCATAATATCACAAAGGATGTAATCAATAATATTAACGAAAACGTAATTACTGAACGTCGAAAATATAAAATCGACCGTGGTTCTGTTTTTTGCGGTTTGTTCACTAAGTCACGCAGCATTTTGTTGATGATACTACCTTTTCCTTTCAAAACAATGAATGAACAACGAGGAAATAGAAGACATTTTTATAATTATCAGTCATTACATTATCGTACCCATCCAAAATAATTTCTTGAAAAGTTCGAATAATGATTTCTGAATATAGAAATGTTGAATGAAAAAATATTTTGAATTTCAAATTCAACTAAATAAGTAATCATTAAAAATAAAGACAAAAAAATTTTGACACCAAATTAAGGTTATAAAATCGTACAAAAGATCATTTAAAGACTCAAATTGACGAATGACATTGAAATGATTTACAAATGTTCAAATTGAATCCAATGATTGGAATCTTTAAAAAAAAACAAAAAAACTTTTTTTTTTTTAATTAATTTTTTATGGATGTTCAAAAACTAAATCTAAAAAAGGGTTGCGAACGATCAATCCAAACCATCAATTGATTCACGTTTATTTTGGTGTAACCTTCATTGTGTCAAACAATACGTCGGTACGTCGGACAAGATGCGATATTTAAGTATTCCAAAGATGTTAGCAGAACCTAAATCTCTTTCAAATGTTTAAATGTGAAGCTTTTTGTACTTTTTAAAGTAAAAATATTATTCCAATTAATCATGACAAATATTGCAGGTTCTATATTTTTTTTTTTGTCAAATTTTTTGAGATTTTCAGCCAGAATAACTTAAAACAAAACGTCCGTCATACTATCATGATTTAGAAAATTACTTTTTTTATGTGGTGATAATGAAGAACTTGCCGGAAAGTCAAAATAGTTAGATAATAGCAATGCAGAATAACTTTTCGTATGCGAATCCAAGTGTAAAGTAAAAATATTCAAAGTACCTTGCAATGCAAGTTTAATCACGGCAAATTGTTGTTTTCACACCATGTGAGGTACTTACAGTTTGCTTTTGTATGACAAAAGATATTACATGTTCATTATGAGGATGGGGAAAGATATTCTACAATAGTACAAAAAGAGCTAATTATTGTGTCATTGGATTTTGTAATATCAATGATAAGTGTTAGCAAATTAACATTAACAATGTATTCATAATATTAAATTCATTAGTTGTAGAAATTTTTTGAAATGATAATAAATTATTATCAAAATTACCCTCACGTTACGTTTAGTCTTTGTGAATGTGGTATCATTTTATTGATAATAGAAATTAAAAATATCAATAAAAATAAAATTTGATTTAAACGCGAAGCTACTTTTAGAAGAATTTTTATCGTTATCAGTTATTTTTTCCGTACATAAATAAAATTATTGGATCAAAGTAGGTGTTTAACTAACTAGGAAAGCTAGAAATTCAATTCCTATTCATTTTACCATAATTTTTCTTTATGTCGCTAGGAAATAATAAACAATTCAACGACAGTTTGGTTTCTCGTGCAATTGATGAACTATTTCATTTAAAAGGTGAAAAAAATTAATCAGTAAAAATAGAGCAAAGTATTTGGCATTGTCGTAACCAACCAAGGTTGATTTGTCTTCGCTAAGGAAAAATAGAATTATAGTCACGAACGATCTACATATATGCGAAATCTGCACCACGTGACTTTGTTTTAACCGGGAAGTATTATTTCCTTTTTCCTATTTCCTTTTTTTATATTTCTTATACTTTTTCCTTCTTTTTCCTAATGCAATATGAAATTATTACGACCAAATAAAAAAAGAATTAATATGTTAATTATCACCGCAACATATAAGAAAAAAAAAGACGTAAAACAATTTTATTGGTTGAACGTATTTTAAATTGGTCACACGAAAATATTTATTGCACAATATTTTATCGTATTGGATCATTCGAAATTTGGGCACAATTGTGAATTCCGATTTGGGATATCCGAACTGATCATTTCGGATATTGAGTTTTTGGGAATGAATTTAACTGTTATTATATTGGGAACTGTCAATTACTCTTTATATAAAAATCTGATATATTAATTTTAACTTTGCAAAAGATGATTGGTTTACCGACAAATCTTTATTCAACCAGTAGGTTTACTTATTGTCTCTCGTTTTTAGTCCGTCTTTCTAATTCGTTGATCTATTTTTTTATGATATATAGGGAGAAACGGTCGATCAAAGGGTTACGGTTATGACCGTGCTCAATGCATTATTTTATGTAAGCTTTGAATAATGCCTAGTAAACTCAAACGTTTTATTCTAGACTATTATCATATAAACATGATAATAGAAAAAAATTTCAATTAAAACCGTGTCCGATATCACCATTTTAACATGTCCAAAAGTTAATCAATTCGCAGGCGCATTTATGTTAGAATCTGCTATTCAAGAAATCTTGAAGTAATCAAATAATCTTAAAATATGTAACATTTTTCAAAATTCAGGTTTAATTTAATGTGTGTACTTAGCCGAAACAAAGTAACACATCTTTGTTAATTATTTAAAAGTATCCATTTAATTATATCGTCTCATTTTTTTTTTTTTTTTTTTTAAGAATTTATAATTTTATTTTCAATCTATATATGATTTATTTTTCAAGTCACATTGTGACTCAATTCTTTATTTTTATTTTTTATACTCAAAATCCATTTGCGTCTTCCTGAATTACAAAATTATGATTTATCATCTGCGCATATTGACAATGTAAAAAGAAAAGGCGAAAACGCAGCAAACACCATAAAAAAGCAAGAAATAAGTCTTTACTGTCGATCTGTCCTAAAATGTCCATCCCTAACGAAACTTAATTCACGTGTTTTACGATGGATTTTACACAGCCATTGACACAGCCTTTATATATATTTGCGCCTCCTAAAGAGATCCGTCTTTTTTTATTTCTTAATAAATCTTGATTCATTTCAATGTCTACAACATATTTATCTGGAGAAGATTTAGATGAAATTCGTAGAACAGCGTTAGAAGAAATTGATAACGCGAAATTCGGATGGTTTCATATCCGCGCATGTTTAGTTGCTGGAATAGGATTCTTTACGGATGCTTATGATTTATTTTCTATTAATTTGGTTTCGGCAATATTGGGATATGCTTATTTCAGTAGTATAAATAACAACGAAGTTCCAATAAATATTGATTCTGGATTAAAAATATCGGCTGCTGTTGGCACTATTTTTGGTCAATTGATTTTTGGGTGGATGGCCGATCGGTTTGGCCGAAAGAAGGTTTGCATTTCGAGGATTTCGGAACAAATTTAAGATTTTATAGTTGGACCTAATTTTTTATTCATGTAAATTTTCAGATGTATGGAGTTGAGCTTATTATAATCATCTTAGCTACCATTGGATCCGCGGCTTCACCACCTATTCAATCACCGATTGATTTGTTCACGATAATTATGACGTGGCGTGTAATACTTGGTCTTGGTATCGGTGGCGATTATCCTCTCTCTGCGGGTAATTATTAATCTTTGATTATCAAAGTTTTAATTTATGATGCTCTTTACAATTTATTATCTTTGTAGTTATAACGAGTGAATTTGCGAGTAAAAATAGACGAGGAGCAATGATGGCAGCTGTCTTTGCGATGCAAGGGTTCGGAATTTTGGCTGCCGGGACGGTTTCGTTAATCACATTGCTTTCCTTTCGATCAGCAATTTCATCAGATCCGCAAAACCTTGATAAAGTTTGGCGTATCATCGTTGCGGCTGGTACGATTCCTGCCATAATAGCACTTTACTTTCGATTGACAATTCCGGAAACTCCAAGATTCACAATGGATGTCCAAGGGAATGTTGATAAAGCAGCGCAGAATATTCATTCATCGTTAGAACATGGAAAATACATTGAAAAAGATGAACCTGTAACGGAATATAGAGCTATAATACAACATGCTACCTGGAAAGATTTCATTCATTATTTTGGGAGGTGGGAAAATGGGAAAGTTTTACTTGGAACTTCCGTTGCTTGGTTTGCACACGACATTGCTTTTTATGGTATGGGATTAAATAATGCCATTATATTAGAAGCAATCGGTTTTGCAAAAACTCAAGATACTTATCAATCTTTATATAATATTTCACTTGGAAATATTGTTATAACCCTTATGGGTACAATACCTGGATATTGGTTTACCGTCTTCTTTGTTGATTCCTTTGGGAGAAAATTCATTCAATTACAAGGATTTGCTATGCTTACATTCTTATTCATGATTATTGGATTCGGTTATAAAGAAATAATCACGAAATCAACCATTTTATTTATAATCCTTTATTCCTTTACTCAATTTTTTCAAAATTTTGGACCAAATGCGACTACATTTATCATACCAGGAGAAGTTTTTCCAACAAGGTATCGTTCAACCGGACATGGAATTTCTGCTGCTGCTGGTAAATTTGGGGCTATAATATCTCAAATAGGATTCCTTAGGTTGAAAGATATAGGAGGGAAAAATCAATTCGTTAATCAATTATTTCTAATTTTTGGCTTATTCACTTTTATTGGGTTCTTATTTACGTTTTTAATACCCGAGACAAAGGGTTTATCCTTGGAAGAATTATCAAATGAGTCTCAAAAGGGTTTTATTAGATCTGCTATAAGTTCTAATGTTTCAAGAGATACAAATGAACTTGGTTTAAGTGATATTAAAGATACGGGAGCTTGGTATGAAGACGACGAAGAATATATAGAAAAAGAAAAATGATCATTTTTTCTTTATATTGCATATTTTGTTTGTTTTATATACAGTATTTCTATTTAAGTAAAAAAAAAATTTTGTATCTAATCATAATCACGAGTTGTGTAACGGAGAATACTTATATAAAGCAAAAAAATTTTTTTTTTTTTGATCGATTATTTAATTTAATTTATTTAAATTTCGAATGATTTTTTTTTAATAATTGATGTCAATTAAGAAAATAAAAAGATAATAATAAAAAAGACTAATCAAATTGTATTCCTTTAAAGCTTTTATTTTCGGGCGACTTATCCTCAAGTCCAGACCCTTAAATAACTTTCTACGTAATCGAAGAAACTTTTCAAATTCATCATCACTATTTATGAAATCCTATATTCAAATTCTTGGAAGTGGAACTTATGACGTTCCTCCTTCGGTATTGGTTCATTACGATGGTCAGAGGGGCAGTCAAAAATATTTATTTAATTGTGGTGAAGGAACACAGAGAATTTGCCTACAAAACAAATTAAGGCTAGTAAAAACGAAGAATATTTTTCTTACTAGAATAAATTGGGAATATGTCGGAGGTCTTCCAGGTACTCAACTATTTAATGATGCGTCTTGTACAAGTATCATAATTATAAATATTTGCCTTTGATATTAAAAAAAAAATTTTTTTTTTTTATCTTTCTCATTCATCAACGAATAAAATTAGGTATGCTTCTTACGTTGGCTGACGCAGGGTCAAAGGAGATACAAATTCTTGGAGGAGAGAATTTGACTCATTTTCTTACGGCTACCAGAAATTTCGTTTTGAGGCAACTATTTATATATCATGTTATTATTATTTTTAACACGAACTTGACAATTTGTTAACATCGATGATTATAATTAGAACGACAATGTCAGTAAGGACACATGAATTTCAAAAAGAAGGGATGAAATTCATGGACGATAACTTGACTGTTCTTCCGGTATTTCTATATCCTGAGGAATTGAAGAGCGCTGATTCAACTGGTTCTTCCACTCAAAAGCCTGAAACTGGTACAAAACGCGAGAGGGATTCAGATTTGCAGAGTGATGAAATTGATTCGGCATTAATATACAAAAAGGAAATTTTATCATTGATGTTCAATCAAAGTCAAAGATCAGATGATCCTAAATCATCCAATAAGAAAAAATCTAGAATTGATGAAGATCTTGATATAGCTATGAATATTCCTGATGAAACTCAATCAGCGGGGAGTTCAAATAATGAAGATTCATTACGTGATCGTAGAAGGGAAATATTTCCAAAAAGATTGCCAAAATCTCAACCTTCATCAGCATCTATAGCTTATATTTGTAAAGGACCTGATTACAAAGGAAAATTTGATCCAATGGCCGCAAAAGCTTTAGGATTGAGTCCTGGACGACAATATTGTAAATTTTTTAGAAAACTTGTAACATTGCGATTGATAACTATATTTTCGCTAAGATATTTTGATTATGTTCTATAGCTGAATTAGTGAAAGGAAATTCCGTTATGGCTCCAGACGGAACAACTGTTCATCCTCATCAAGTTCTTGGACCATCGCGACCTGGCTTGGTAATAATCAGATAATAGTTGTGCTAAAGAACTTTATATGCTCAATGATTAAATTAAAATTTTTTTTAAAAAAAAATTTAAGTTTTTTATGATTGTGGATATTCCTTCCACTTCTTATATTACTTCCGTTTGCGATTCGCCTGAATTTTCTACATATCAGACAAGTAATAAGGACTTACAACCTCGGGTTATAGTACATATGATTGGTAATGATGTGCTGGAAGATCAGAGGTATCAGGAATGGATGAAAAAGTTTGGGCCAGAAACTGAGGTGGGATTAGTATTACCCTGATTTATTTGAAAAAATCATCTTATTTTAAACAAAGAATTTTTCGGATTTTAGCATGTAATTGCAAATGAGCAATATTGTCCTCAAAGAATTATTTATCACAGTTCTGCGCTTAGCCAATTGAAATTATCAAAGATTGACGAAAAAATTTTTCGCGTCCCGTATTATTCCAATATACCCGCCAAGGAGTTAAAATCATGTTTGTATTCTCTTTTTTTTAGAAAATTTTTTTGAAAAGTTAAAATAATATATATATATTTTTGATCATCATATTTGAAATTTAGTGAGCAATATTCCAAAGAAGACATCATTTGCTGTTCCAATGATGATGTATCAAACAGAGCCGAGTTTTAAGATCGACACGTCGCAGATAGAACCTCCATTTGATCATAAGAATCCTGATTCAGAAGCTGTAAAATCTTTGAATGGATTAAATGATTATTTAAATGTCGTGAAAGAAGTTAAAAGTGATGTTATAAATTCACAATCAGAAGCAAAAGATATTCCTGGAAGTGATATTTCCGTGACAACGCTTGGGACAGGATCAACTTTGCCTTCAAAATATCGAAATGGTAAAAATTCTTTATTTGCTTGATTGATTAGTCTACATAAGATGTTGTACTCACGAATAAATTTGTATCTATATGATTAGTAAGTGCAAGTTTGATTACCATTCCGAATAATGGATTTATTCTTCTCGACGTTGGGGAGGGAACATTTGGATCAATGTTGCGACATTTCGGTCCATATGGTCATCCTCATGGTGATGGCCAGATAAGTTTAGAGAATTGTATAAGTAATTTGAAATGCATTTTTATATCGCATATGCATGCAGATCACCACCTTGGAATAATTAGAGTCTTGAGTAAATGGAATCAGGTACAAACACAGTTGTTTGGATTTTTTTTTTAAAAAAAAGAATTGCCGTTTGCGAAATCTTAATTTTGATGGTTCTAAACTTTTGCAAGATATTAGTTACATCTGGGTGAGAAAAATGCAGCAATTTTTGTACTTGGACCTACCAGATTATGGAAATGGCTTCAGGAATATAGTGATGTTGAAAATTTTGGAATCAGTAAAATTAAATTCATAAATAATAAAGATCTATTATTTTCGAAACAAAGAGGAACAAACTTTGGCTTAAATAGGTAAGTTCTTCATGAGGTTTATTGATTAAACTATATAAAGACTAATTCTTAAAGTTTGTAATTGCAGCCTACAAGACTTAAAGAATTGTATGGGAATTAGTAAAGTTGAAACAGTTGCTGCAATTCATTGTCCCAGTTCTTTTGGAATAAGTCTCGCACATCGTGATGGCTGGAAAATTGTGTAAGTTGCTAAATGTAATATGTATTTTTAAACCATCCACAAGTAATAATTGGTGTAACATCCTCGATTTAAAGTTATTCCGGCGATACGCGACCTTGTGATGATCTCGTACGCGTTGGTAAGGATGCAACACTTTTAATTCATGAGGCTACCTTTGAAAATGATTTGATTGAGGAAGCCTTAAATAAGCAGCATAGTACAACTGAGGAAGCTGTTTCAATAGGAAGAAGGTAAAATTTAATTTTTATGAATTTATTATTATAATTATTTTTTTTTTTTTGTAAATTTAAATAGTTTTCTAAAAACAAAAAAATATCAAACAAAATTTTGATAGGATGAATGCGCATGCTTTGCTACTAACTCATTTTAGTCAAAGGTATCCCAAAGTTCCTGTATTTACAGATGATCACGGTATAGTAGGAATTAGTTTTGATTTAATGGAGGTGAATATTGGAGAGTTTTACAAACTTCCAAAATTTGTTAATGCATTAAAAGTATTGTATTCGGATGGAAGTGAGGAAGCTAATGAGGAAAGTGATAATGAAGTTTAATATTTTACAAATAAAGGAAAATGAAGATTAATTGTGATGAATTATTATACTTTAAATATCAAGTACATTGAATTAAAAGAATTATGGATTGAAATTTTATAGCTGATCAAAATTGAGTTTGATCTATTTGAATGAATTCAATGTAATTTATAAAATTGAAGCATATATCTATTCGTTAGGCTCATTCTTAACAAAGTTAATTCAATCATTAATAGTCCATACTGTAAATCAATGCTTAATAAATAAATATTATAAGAATTCCTTGTAATAATTGTAATAATAAATTTAATCAAAGTATTTATTATTTAATAGGTTAGGTATTCTATAAATACAATATTTTAAATTCTAAATCTCAATTGAACTTGAAAATCATATCGATTTTAAACGCGCCGGATTTGCCTTTTATAATTATAAAATTTTAATTCAGCCGAAATTTCATTTACGCAGGCCAAGCTCTATTTTCGTTATTATTATTTTGATGTTTTTCATTATATCAAGGAAGAGTTTCAAATAACGAGCTTTTATTTTATAGTATATACTTTGACAATTACTCTTCTGAAATAACCTTATATACTACGTAATATATAATATTATCAAAAAATCTGGTCAATGCTATTTGTGCTTCAATTCGACGTGGTATACTTGAAGGTTAATCACATAGATGTTTGATAGGCGCAGTATATACAGTAAATATTGATATATTTCCAATTTTCTTTTTTTTTTTTTTAAATTATATAATCACATGAACGTTCTTTTTTTAATTTAATTAATCCATTTAGAATGTTTCACGGAATATTCGAAAAGTGGGGTTTATTTTTGTCAAGATGGCGTAGAAAACAAAGCAGCGTAACAATATAAAACGAAATATCATGTGCGTCTTTGTACTATAATCAATAAAAAACCAAATAAATAAGCAAGGGTCAACAATTTTTAAAAAAAAATCACAAAGAAAAAATTTCCAATACTGATTTTCGGAGAGTATCATCCGCACATCCGAATTCTTTAGAAACTTCTCCTCATATTCCAGAAAATTTCCAAATATAAAATGATAAAGCAACTTAAAAAAGTTCATTATCATTTTGGGTAAATGAATGGAGGTTTTTCGGACGAAACTCTCGAAACTCCGAAAAAAAAATTATTTTTTTTTTACTTAACAAAGCTAACTTTTTCATGTTATTAAAATCTTTTTTTTTTTTAAAAAAAAATATATATTTTTTTCCCACTTCCACTTTTCATAATTTGTAATCAATCATGAAAAAATTATTATTTAACAAAAGACGTCAACTGAATGACGAGGAGGATCAATCTTCGGAAAGAGAATCAAAGAATCCTCGTATCGAAATTGTCAATTACGATGATGATTCAGTCATGAATATTGATACAAATCTCCCATCTACTTCACCGTCACCTTCTCCTTCACCATCGCATTCCTACAACAATTCACGAGATATGAATTCTCCAAGTTATCAGCAGGATGATATTGAAGTATCAAGTGAATTAAATAAAATGAGTTTAGATAATATCATGGACATGGATGATTGTGAAAAAACGTCAGAATTGGAACAAGGTTTCGGTTCAATAGCACGTTCAACTGCAAAAGGAGCACTTTGTATAGCTCAAAATTTCGAAGCATTTTCACCATATATCAAAGTATTCCTTGCGTTAGGAAGGGATATAATAACATTGTATGAAAAGGCTGAACATCATAAAGAATTATGTAGTTCACTTTTACAAAGATGTAATTGCGCAATGGCCACCGTTAAAGATTTATTTATTAGAAAAACGGAAAACAAAAATTTTTTTTCGAAGCCGGAAAATTTACACTTATTTCAAGAATTTATTGCATGCATAAAAAGAATTCGAAATTTTATAGGGGAAATTAGTCAATTAAGTAAATTTAAAAAATTCTTCTTTACCAATAATATCGGAGAAACTTTTCAAAACCTTATAGCTGAATTTGATGGATTCATGAATAGTTTAAATTTTACCTTCACCATACAATCCAATAATAACTTGGCGACTATGAAAAATGATATGAAACAGATTATGGAGAAATTATCTTTTTATGACGTACCCAATGACAAGCAATCTCAGCAAAACTTTTTCAATGATGTCAATTCAGTAGCTGGAAGTGCCCAAGAATTTAAGAGACAAACGAGAAAAAACAAAACTTTAGATTCGTCGGAAGTTAAAATCTTGGATGAAAATGAACCATTACTCTCCGGTAATCAATATCAAAAAACCAGCGTCTGTCCTACCAAAAAGATTGAAAAGCGTATTAATGATGGAATTGATTATTCTTTCAAAGAATTTTCTAATACCGCTTCGGATCAAACTCAAATTGAAATCAGGAGACAAGTTAACATTCTTAAAAAATTAAAAAATGCTAATCATATTATAAGATTTTTTGGTGTTGCTCAAGAAAATTCCAAATTTTATTTGATTACTGAATGGATGGAACATGGAAATTTACAAGAATATTATACCAATTTTAAAGAAATGATGACCTGGGTAACCAAAATTAGATTCGCTTTAGATATCTGCTGCGGTATCTCGTATCTTAACGATTGTGAGGTAACGGAATTTATTTTCTTCAAAAAAATCTCAAAATTGTTTAAACCTTTTAATATTTATCTTTAAAAAATTATTTAGATTCTTCATCGAGATATCCAGTCGGCGAATATTTTAATAAACACTGATCAAAAAGCAAAAATAGCAAATTTTGGTTTAAGCAGGAAATTTTCAGAACTTACGAGGAATATTTCGCCAAATATTGAAAATGTAAGGTATATGGCTCCAGAAAAACTATCAATAATAGAAAATGATAGAAAAAAATCGACCTCCACTACAGTTCCTCCTTATGATTCTAAATGCGAAATTTACAGGTAAAAAAAAAAAAAAAAAAAAATTCTAATATTTGATATTTGTATAATAAATTTTATTATTTTTATTGCATACAGTATTGGAGCATTATTATGGGAAATTGCCGAATTGAAAAAACCTCATTCTGATCTTAATAAATCGGACGTTCTTCTTGGTATTAGAGAACGTGTTAATGATAGATACTGCTTACCATTTTCAGATGAAGTGCCACCTAAATGGAAAGCATTAGTCAAAGATGGTAAGTTTAAAAGAGTGTAAATCATTTTATTTTTATATTCAATTTGATTTTCATATATCTTCTTAAATTTCATTTTTGATTTTAGCTATGATATACGAACCGGCGTGTCGTCCTAAAATATACGATATTTGTCGAAAACTTCATAAATTGAGTAAAAATTACTCAATCACAACTCAAGACTATGCTGGGGAACCTGAAGTAACTTTATCAATGGATTATCAAAGTCCATTGCCTTCATCATTTGTCACCATTACAATTCTTCCGATTAGCGACGCGATTCGTACACATAAATCCAAAACTGGGAATAAGCAATTGGCATGGCAAAGTTTTAAATATCATTCATCAACCAATATTGAAGCGAAATATTGGCTAGGGTATTATTACTATCATCATGGAGAAATTATTCCTGAATTAAAACAAATCGATAAAGAAGAAAGGATTAGAATGTCTATAGAAATATTTAAAGAAACAGCTGATAAAGGAAATCCTTCTGCTCAATTGAGATATGGCTTATGTTTAATGAATGGTGAAGGTGTTGATGAAAATTTTGTGGAAGCTTTTAGATATTTAAAAGATTCGGCCAATCAGGGAAATACTACAGCTATGTATATTATTGGAAAGGCATATTGGAACGGTGGTGTCATTATACAAGATAAGGAACAAGGCACGAAATATTTAAAATGTGCTGCTCTCGAGAATCATCCCAAGGCTAAAGAAATGTGTAATAAATATAATATTCCCTTTTCATAGTAATTTTTTTTTTGTAATTAATTAGCCATTTTTTTAGTTTGATTTTGTACAGTTTATATTTTACGAACGAAATAAACATTTAAATTATAATGCCACAACTAGTTTGGTTGATAAAAAAAAAACTCAGATCTGGTATGTCAATAATTATATAGAAAAATATAAAAATAAAATTTGAAGTTATTGTGAAAATTTTTGCTTAATTAGTGATAATGAGTATATTTTCACATGAAATCGATGAAATCGATATCAAAGAAAACCGCGATTTGGTATTAGTTTTTGAGTGCGAATCAACATTCTTTTATAAGATAATCAATGATGGGTATTTTGTTAAGTTTTTTTTTACTATTTTAATATCGTTAACATTTGGGATATAGTGCATCCATAATTTTTCGAATCACAAAAAAAAATTTAAATATGTTTATTTGTTCTATATGGAACGTTTAAATTCTCTTCTACCTTTCAATCTAAGAGAAATTCACCTCAATTATATAATTATAATTTCCATTTAAGGAAATAAAATAATGCCGATTTTTAAATTACCCATTTCATAAATTTGGTGTTGTACAGGACTTATATAAAGAACCTGTAATGTTTTTGGTTATTCCGAAACTTTATTCTGTTTCATTATCTAGAAACATCATTATACTTCTAGGCGTTATTGAAAATAACAAAGTAAAATGGAAATATAAATTGAAAATAAGTTTATCCTTTTTTGGATGAATGCATTATTTTAATTTTATAAAAAGCAGAAAGCTCCGCCCCGGTTTTCTTTTTTTTTTTTCATTTCAAAACTTCAAACTAAATATTTTAGATATTATCATTATGTATAACTTTAACTTTCTTCCAAATAAGAAAAAACGCTCAACTAATGATGATCAATCAACGAATACGGAAAGAGAACCAAAGGTACCTCGTATCAATATTCTTAGAACAGATGATTTAATTATGGATGTCGATGCAAACTCTACCCCATCTCTATCCCCATATCATTCTTCTTGCCCTTCACCGTCAAATCCTTCACCGTCAAATCCCGTTCTCACTTACAATGATCAATTTAATTATTGGAATCCGCAAGATTATAATAGTTTGCAATATTATCAATATAATCAACCAGAGATGAATCCTTTTTTCCCAGCTAACTATATGACATCTCAGGACGATAATGGAGTATCAGGTGCATTGAATAGAATGACTATCGGGGAAACAAATGAGGCTGCATCAGAAATCTGTGTTACAGGAACGGTCGCAACATTAAAAGGAGCATGTAGTGTAGCTCAAAATTTCGAAACGTTTATTCCGTTTGTCACAATATTTCTTAAACTAGGAGAAGAGATTATAAATTTATATGACAAAGCCAAACATAATAAAGAGTTATGTGGGATCCTATTGCAAAGGTGTAATGGTGCAATGGCTGCTGTAAGGGATTTAGATATGAGGAAAACGGAAAATGCGGAATTTTTTTCTAAACAAGAAAATTTAAATCTATTTAAACAATTCATTAAGTGCATGGAAAAGATCAAGAAATTTATTTTACGAGTTAGCAAATTACACAAACTTATTAAATACTTATGGGCCTGCAGCATCGAACAGGATTTAACTAATCTCATAACAGAATTTGATGGGTATATGAGAAATTTAAATTTTTCCTTTATTGTACAATCTAGAGACGAGTTGGGGATAATAAAGGGTTATGTAGGGCAGATCAAGGAGTTATTATTCAACGTTTATGGCGTTTCTGATAATAACTATCAAGATTTTTTGAAGAATATGAATTCGATAACCGTGAAAAACATAGAATTTCAAAGACAAGAAAGACAAGACAAAAGTAACGTGATCATTAATTCATCTGAGGTTATAACGAACTTGGAAAGAAATGAACCTTTACTTGACGGTAGACTTTATGATAAAGCTATGCTTACGCGCTCAAAAAGAATTGAAAAACGACTATCGGTAACTAATTGTACCGAGGTTTCATTTAAAGAATTTTCAAATACCAATGCTGCTGCTTCTTCAGAAACTGGTAATGGACAATCTCATCATCAAACCCAAACCCAAGCTCCGATTCAAATTGAGATCAGAAAGCAGGTTAATATTCTAAAAGAATTAAAAGATTCTGATCATATTATAAGGTTTTTTGGCGTGGCTCAAGAAGATTCAAAATTTTATTTGGTTACCGAATGGATGGAACATGGAAATTTATTTGAATATTATACCACTTTTAAGGATAATATGAATTGGGAAACCAAAATCAGATTTGCCTTGGATATTTGTCGTGGTGTCGCATATCTTCATGAATGTAAGGTAAGCTATTAAAGATCGTTTGAAATTTCTATTTTTATATTATTTATTTTTTGTAGAATACAAAAAAAAAAAATTTTTTTATTCATTAATTTTTTTCTTTTTCATCAAAAATTAGATCCTTCACCATGATATCCAGTCGGCAAATATCTTAGTAAATAAGTATCACAAAGTTAGGATAGCAAATTTTGGTTTAAGCAAAAAGTTCTCGGATATTACTAGAAATATTTCACATAATCTAGAAAACATAAGGTATATGGCACCGGAGAAATTATTATTAGACAATGAAGAAAATAATAATGACTTTAAAAAGAAAAGTGTTTCTTACGATGCAAAGTGTGAAGTTTACAGGTAAATCAATACTTTTTAAATTCTAACACGTTATGAATTTTTAACATTTTGGAAATTCAATTATTTTTTTTTAAAAAGACTTTACTGACTTTTTTTTTTTTTTTAAAAAAAAATAATATTATAGCGTTGGAGCGTTATTGTGGGAAATTGCTGAATTGAAAAAACCTCATTCGGATCTTGATAAATCAGAATTACTTGGTAGTATTAGAAAGCGCGTAAGAGAAAGAATTAACGAATCATTTTCAGATGATGTACCTGTTGAATGGAGACAAATAGTATCTAGAGGTAATACATTGAAATTTTATTATTCCTTCAATATTAAGTATTAAATCTTAACTGATCTCCTCCTATTTATCTTTCAGCAATGGAATATTTACCAACGTGGCGTCCTAATATATCTGATATTTGTCGTGATTTTTACAAATTAAATGAACATTATTCCGAGTTTTATTCCCGGAATAATTATTACATTGAAAATACAGAGGACTATAAATCATTTAATAGCCGAAATTATAAAACATCATCATCCGTAACTATAAATATTCTATCTGTGAACGACGCAATTCGCGAGCACAAATCTAATGATGGAAATAGACAATTAGCATGGGATAGTTTCAAATATCATTCATCAACCAATATTGAAGCCAAATATTGGTTAGGATATTATTATTATCATCATGGTAAAGATATTCCCGAATTACAATCAATTAGGGAGCCAGAAAGAATTAAAATGGCTGTAGATATATTTAAAGAAACGGCTGATAGAGGAAATCCCTCTGCACAATTGAGATATGGAATATGTTTATGGAAAGGCGAAGGTATTCCTGCAAATTCTTTGGAAGCTTCTAGATATTTAAAATATGCAGCCGATTCAGGAAATTCGACCGCTATGTATATTATTGGAAAGGCTTATTGGAATGGTGGTAATGGTATTGGACAAGATAAGGAACAAGGGGCTAGATATTTAAGAGATGCTGCTTTGCATGATCATCCTAAGGCCATAGAAATGTGTAATAAATATAAAATTATGGTTTAATTAGTTTTTATATAGATTATTATGTATCTTTTGTATTTATACTATCACTTTTTAACTTTTAAATACAATAGATTGAAATTATTAGACTTTTGAATTTTCTTTATAATAAATATGCAAATTAAACATTGAATTTAGAAAGAAAATAATTATAAAATACTAAATCATTTGATTTCATATTACCATTTGTTCTAAATTTGCCTAAAGTAAATTAGATGTTATATATTATACATATTAATAAGAATATTTTTTAATATATAGTCCACAAAAGTCTTGTTTTTAAACGTCAGCATTTTATATAATATATAAATTAAGAATTTTAAGTCAAAATCAATTACTTAAAAAACACACTTGAAAAACAATGTTAAAAAACGTGAATTCCTAATCCAACTATAATATAATCTAGGGATTAAAATGTCCAAATGCAGTGATAGTTTTTTAGTTGGACTAATGAATTATTAGACAATTGGAAAATATACATTCTAAAATTCTATTTTTATATATGAATTTATATAAAATATTTAAACTTAAAGTTTTTAATATAAATTATTATAAAATAATTAAAATATATATTAAAAGTTTTTATTATATAATATATATTGAATTATATATTTATATTATTAAATTTAGAATCTATTTTAAATTCTTTAATAAATAAATATTTTTTTTTACAATTAAAAATATTAATATAAATAATTAAATTCTTTTAATTAAAAAATATTTCTAATTAATTAAATTTAATTTTAAATTATAAAATAATATTTTATTTTTTATATATTTAAATTAAATATTTTACTTTATATTAAGTTAAATTTGAATATAATTCAAGTTAAGTTGAATTGAATTAAGTTAATATAAATATAATTTAAGTTGAATCAAATCAAGTTTAGTTACATATAACTTGAATTGAATTGAGTTAAGTTAAGTTAAGTCAAGTCATATTTAAATATAATTCAAGTTAAGTTAAGTAAAAGTTTTAAAATTTTATTCAACTTAACTCAACTTAAATAATTTGAATTGAGTTAAGTTTTCTTTAAAACTTGATTTGGTTTGACTCATTAGAAGTTTTAAACAAACATTCTAGAATCAATGATTCATTTTCAGATAAAATCATAATTTCAGTTCTAATCCAGTTAATATAAGATTATAGAATATTGCTAATAAACAAAATTCTATTATTGCAAATTAACAAATATAAATGAATATTATGATAACCCAACTTTAATTATTATCTGAAAAACTTTCTGATAATAATTTGCCACTATTTTACCTATATTTTAATCATGATTTTAAACAATTTCAATAATCTAAATAATACAAATAATATAGGGCATTTTGAGAGATTTGGGACAGATTTCGATGAATACCCTATATAGTACTCAAATCACTCCTACAAGTCCAGTTTGCTATATATTTCATTTCTATTTATTTAACCTTCTAGCGCCTTTTGACTCATTTCTAGATAATGCTATCGAACTTGGCTAGGAATTAGCCTATCTGATACCAAGAATTATAATGTTTGATATAACCATTCTAGCCTGATTTTAATCCCAAATAATATATCAAAAATTTTACTATTCAGTTTGCCTCAGGAGGGCCCAGCGAAAATCAAGAAACAAAGTGACGCGATTTGAGCTGGGCTCGACATTGCAAACCCAATATGAATAATAACTTTTATGTTATTCTGCTTGCCTCTAGAAGGCTTAGCAAAAATCAAGGAATAAAGTGACGTGATTTGAGCTAGGCCCGACCATACAAGCCTAAAATGCATACCATATTCTAAGTCTCACCTCTAAATCACATCTCTAAGTCACACCTTTTATCAAGTCTCACCCATAAATTTTTCGCATACATTATAATCAAATTGCCTCCCAATAGCATACTGTTTAGATAGCAATAGAGAACAAGCATGAGGAGAAGCGGAATGACGATGAATGCGTGTTCAATATAGGAGAATAAGTGTGAGCTGGCAAAGCCCTTAAGGTGACACCAGTGAATACGCATTCAACAGGAGAAACGATATGGCAGGAATATGAGTGAGCTCTTTAGGATAAAGCGAATATAGATGCTATATCGTTTTGACCATATGCTACCATATTCTTATGTATGCTGTATATGAGGCAAATATGTGTGATAATAAGTGGGTGGAAAAAATCAATATACAGAAAACCTTTCAAACTCATTTTCCTTGCCAAAATTTCAGCGTTTTTAGCTTACCCAAAATCATGTGAACCTAACGTGATTGAGTGACAAGACGCTCACCTAAAGAGGTAATTATTTTTATTTAAACAAAAGTTTACACAATAATTAACAGGTGAGACTTATTAATATCATGCCTAGAAGTGATAAGAAAAATTCTACTTGTAAAGATTGCGATTATAAATTTACAAGACCTGCTAAACTTCGTCAGCATTATAAAAGTAATAAAAATCAATGCGGACCTGATCCTGAAATTATTATTCAAGAGATACAAGCAGAAGTAGATATTCCAACTCCAATTTCTGAATCAGAATCACAGAAGAATCAAACTACTAATTTGTCTATAAATGATTTGGTTAACTGGTTAGCAAAACCAGAGATAAAAAACAATCCAACTATTACCAACAAAAAGATACCCAAAACAAATGCAGAATGGTTTGATTTAATAGAAAAATCATCTAGTAAAAAACAAAAGAAAACCAAAATTTCTCAACCAGAAAAGGAAAATCCTGATAAGATTGAGAAGTATGACATGATTCCAAAAGGATCTGCTCAGGAGGATATTCACTTTGAAGAATACCCAGTTGGAAGAGATAGAAAGAACACATAAAAATCGATCTTTAATGAGCAAATGGATAGGAAAAGTTTCTCATCCTGAAAATAACCCTAAATATGCTTTTATTCAACCAATAGATGATCCTATACAATATAAAGAAATTCCATACATGTCTCAACTTATGGGATTAATTAGACTGAAAATAACAGAAGTTTTTTAAACAGAGTTTCATAGAAAAAACCAAATAAAATCAGCTATAGTAGCATTGTGTCTGTATTCGATTACTAAAAGAAACCCAGATAGAACAAGTGATACATCATATATAGAAAATCATAAAAGTGGAAAGATGCGATATTTACTTTTAACAAATGATATAAATGAGCATATAACCAAATCTGCTAGAGAAATAGATAATCAGATTGAGAAAACATTAAAAAAGGGATCTGGATATGTTCTTGAACGAATTCTTGAAATAACTATTGAGGTATATAAATGCAAATGAGCAATAGGAGGATCTTATATTCATATTCCAAAGAAGCTAGCTAATACAAAGTGTACTATTAATTCTGATAATTATGTTCTTATTGATTCAGAAACGAAAAAGCCTTCTGAAAAATGTCTTCAAGATGCTTTAGATTGCTATTTTATAGATCAGAATGGGCATACAGATCATCTTGAAAGAATCTTTTGTGCTACTAAATATAAACCATATTTAGATATAGTCAAGCTAGATGGAATCCCAATGCCCACTCCCATCTGCTCACGTATATTTAATAAGATTGAGGAGATGAATCCAGATATCTCCATCAGTGTCTGGAAATGGAAAGAAGAAACAGCTACACAAAAACCTATAATAGCTAGTAAAAACTTTAAAAGAAAACATAAAATTCGTTTATTAGCCCTTACAGATATTACTAAAGATGAAGAAACAGGTAAATATAGACAAAAGAACCATTTCCTTTGGATCAAGAATATTAACAGATTAATTTCCAAAGATACTGCTCATAATGGTAAGAAGTATTTATGTGATGGATGTACTATAAACTGGCCTTCTGAAAAGTCTCTAGAACATCATTTAGAATAGTATCCAGGAATATATGAAAATGCCACTCAAAGAGTCAAAATGCTAGTGAAAGGAATTAATGATTACGTGAAGTTCAAAAACTATGGTCAAATGATCAATGCTCCATGTGTTATTACAGCTGACTTTGAGGCTGATAATAAGAAATGTAATGAGACATATGTTGGAAGTATGATTAAACTTACTGAGCAGAAGGCCAACAGTTTCTACTATTTGGTTCACTGGATCGATACTGGAGATGTCTGGGGTCCATTCCTATATAAGGGAGAAAATGCCACACAAGAATTCGTTCAAAGAATCGATACAGAGCTGGTCAAAATCAATGAGATCCTAGCTATCAAACATAAGCGAATTGAAACTGAAGAATATAAGAAAAATTTCGCAAAGGTAATTAACTGTTGGATCTGCAAAGGTAAGTTTGATATAGATATAGATGAAATTGAACGCTTAGAAAATAAAATAACCTATCTTAAAGAAAAACTAAAAAGCTTTAAAAAAGAGTCAACAGAATATAATGATATCGAAACAACTATTGATAAAGTGACTAAGGTAATTGTTAGCGAAAAAGCTAAAGCCAATAAGGTCTAGGATCATTGTCATATTACAAGTAAGTTTCATAGATCAGCTCATAGGGATTGTAATCTCAAACTCCAAATACAAGATTGGAAGACCCCAATTTCAGTTATATTTCACAACTTTCGAGACTATAACTCTCACTTGCTTTGTGAGTCTGTCAGGCGATCAGCTAATGCTCTTTATATCCAAGTTATAGCTGAAACATTTGAGCGATATAAGACTATGAAGGTAGGTCAACTCAAATATATAGATAGTATGCAGTTCATGAATAGTAGCTTGGCCAGTCTTACAAAAAATTTGGGTAATAACCACTCAATAACAAGCAAATATTTCAAAAAATTAAGTTATACAGAAGAGCAATTAGCATTAGTATATCGCAAAATAGTTTATCCCTATGACTATATCGATTCTCATGATAGGTTTCAGGAGACAGAACTTCCTCCCATTCATGAATTTTATAGTACTCTTAAAGGTAAGATCTCACAAGATGATTACAAACATGCCCAGAAAGTATGAAAGGAATTCGGATGTAAAAATCTAGGTGAATACCATGATCTTTTTCTTAAAACTGACGTACTTAGTCTAGCAGATGTCTGGACAGAGTTTTGAAAAATGTCTATAGAATATTATGAACTTAATCCCAGTCACTATTTTCTGCCTCATCATTATCCTGGGATGGAATGCTTAAGATGTCAGGAGTTAGGATTAAACTTTTCACATATATGACTATGCATGATTTTATCGAAAAAGCTAAGCGTGGTGGTATATCTATGGCCTGTCAATGATATTTTAAGGCTAATAATCCCAAAATAGGAGAAGCCTATGCGGTAAGACGGAAACTTGTGGTGTAGGGTCAATCAACTGTGTAGTGTATAATGTAAAATAAATAGTGTATGATATATAACACACAGTTCAAATATTAATTATATATATTAAACATTCAAACTGTGTGATGTATATTATTATAGTGTATATTTTTTATTTAATACACAATTGCTTTTTAGTATTATAATGCAAAATTTTAAAATTAATTGAAAAACTTTTTTTATATAATGCTAAAATTCGTACTGAAATATATAAATTCTTTTACAAAGAAAAATAAAAAGTACTAAGATCTACATATTGTGAAGCAAATAAATGTGTAAATCTATTACTAACTTAAGATTGTTTTCGTTGTTATATGATAATTTAATTTTTTATATTGTAACTATAATTTATATTTTATAAACGCTTTATTTATTAAATTTTCTTTCACATGTTTATAGCATTTAACGAATGAATATTTATCAAATTTGATTTTTCAAGATTTAACAAATTCTAACTCACGCTTCTTCTCAAAATTTGATAGTTCCATTAAATAGATTTTAGCCTCTCGTTCTCTTAGATCAATTTCACGCTCTTTTAAAGCCAGAACCCGTTCTTTATATTCAAGTTCACTAATTCTTGAAGTTAACTCATTCTCCTTATCATCATTTTTAGTATTAGAATTAACTACAATGCTTTTCTAGGCTTTTTCTTTGCACTTTGTTTAAGACTAATAGGAATTTCGTCTTCAGTATCAGAGTTATTTACATTCCCTTTTTTAGATCCTTTCTTACTAGTAGATCGTAATTTACGTTTCATAATAATTGATTTCGCCTGTGCATTAGCTGTATAAATAATAAATATTTAAATTATTAATGTAAATATAAATTTAACATAAAAATAACATCAGTACAGTCATACCTCTCTATAGCGAATTTTTATATAACGAATTTTTTGGACAACTATATTAAATTTACCCTCGTTATAACGAACTAGCCAATCAAATTCTTTAAAAAATTCACTATAGCTCTATAGCGAAGTTGAAGTTCAGGACATAAAATTCGTTATATCAAGGGTTGACTGTACTACGTATTTTCATAATATCCTAATTTATCTTGATATTTATTAGATAGAATGTTATGAGTAATTAGACCTTTGTCTCATCCCCGAGTAGGTATATTGTATTTTTGATGAATACGAATTGCATTGAATCTTTCTTAATCTAATTTTCTTCATCTATACATATTAATAAATTAATGAATTTAGAATTTACATAAAAAATTAAAATTTTTTAATATATTGCATTAATACATACTGTAAAATAGCTATTACTAGTTTGAGATTTTTTCCACGACAGTTACTTAAGGCATGGGCAGCCTCAGCAGTATTAGTATTATCGGAAATGTTAACCAAATATTATTGTCAATCTTTGATATACACTTATTAAGTGATGCGATAACCCACTTTTGACGATAAAAGGAAATCCAATCTAATAAATATAAGAATAAATAATTTTTAAAAAAAAATTTTTATTAAATAAACTAAAAAATTTGCTACTAACCAGCAGTATTTTTATCAATTTTTTGAATATTATCAAATAAATGATTGATTGTATCCTCTGATTCAGCTGGTAAAATTGCATACATATTATTTTTTTAAAGTATCATTATATGATTTTTCTCTGATTTTCCTATTATTAAAATATAAAAATAAAATTCATTAAATTATTTTATTAAATTAAAAACATCAATTTTATTTACTTACCTTTTATAATATACTTTACAGGATTTAAAAAATGAACTAAATGTTCTTCCCATTTCTTGTTTTATCTATTTCATTTAAAACTAATCCTAGACTTTATGCTTGCGTATAATCCAGATCTGCAATAACACAGCCCCAACCTTTTTTATGAATATGCTTAAATTGAGGTGCTAAACCCGTTAATTAAAGTATTAAATCAAACAAAGCACAAAAAATCCTCTGATATGCAACTGTTATTGCACGATTAGTAAATACATTGACAAAAGTAAGAACTAAAAATATAAATTATCAAGTTAGTTAGCATTTAAAATTACAATTTATAAAAACTAAAATATAAAACTAATATTATAAGATTTTTTTATACTAATAAATTTTGTAATAAGCAAAAAAAAATCATACTTAGATTATGTTGAGGATTATAATAATTAACCTCAAATTCGTTAATTTCACCTGCAATACGTTTGAAAGAAAGATCAATTTAAAACTTTTAAAAAATGTCATCTATAAATATTAAAGATTGTAGTTTATATACAAATAATGTATGTAAAGGAAGAATTAGAAAAATTTTAATAAAACAGATATTCCAGAAAAAAGTAAAAATATTATAAATATTAATATGTTACTTTATCAAACACATTACAATCAATATATGCTAAATGAATTATCAAAAATTAAAAGTTGTCAACATCCAAAACATAATATTTATGAATCAACTTCAACAAATTTAACTAAAATTCCAAAAAGATTAATTGAAGTATTAGAATTAGATGAGAATTCAATGATTTGTAGTATGTGTAGAAAGAGAACTGATAATGATTTAGAATATTTACAAAATGAAAAATATAAAGCACCAATAGCTAGAAAAACCAATTTAAATGATGATGATAATTTACAAAATGAATTAATAAAAATAGATAATAAAAAAATAAAGGTCTGTCAACATCCAAAACATGAAATTTATTTAAATGAAGCAAAAATAAATAAAACAAAAAATAAAATAAATAAAAATCTTATTAAAATACCCAAAAGATTAATTGAATTATTAGGATTAGATGAATTTGCAATGATTTGTAGTATATGCAGAAAAAGAACTGATAGAGATTCAGAATATTTAGAAGCTAAAGAATATGAAGCACCAATTTCTAGAAATAATGATGATGAAGATAATATATTAAAAATAGGAAATCATAATTATTCATTTAGAAAAGATATTTTATATACTGGTAAAGAATTAAAACAATTTGAATCAGATTATCAAGAAATTATAGCAGAATTAACAATTTCAAATGAAATTAATTTAAGTAGTAAAATAATTAAAATGTCTAATATTCTTTATAATAATCAACATAGATTAAATCAAAAACCTATTTATGATCCAATTGCCTTTAAATCAATGTTGGAAATAGCTGATAAAGATTTAATTGGATTTTTTGATGAATTATTTATTGGAACTAATCCTAATACTAAAAATAATAA